TTTCATATCTTTCTGATCACTTTTCATGGTGTTTTATTCCTTGCTCAATTTTTTTCTTTATATATTTCACATGCATTTGTTTTATATTCAGTATGCAGCATCCAAGTGCCATAAGGGATAGGAGATCTAAATGTTTATTGTCTCTATTGATGCTTGTAAAATTTGGTTTATGTTATTCCCTATTTGATAATTGATTCTGTTGAGTGTTTGATAATTTTTATGGTAGCTTCATATAAGCTGAATCTGTAGGAACCTAAGGGAACTGGATGCTAATGTGTTCCTTAAAAGAGGACTCATGCTTATCTCTCCACTAAGTGACGGGGTCCCACTGATCTGGAACCACTTATTTAAATGTGTTTAGGCTAGGGTTTACATGGCTCTGCAAGAATTATAAATTTATGCCACACATTCATCCAAAAATAAACTTAAACAATAGCAAAGTCTCTTATTATTTTTCCTCCCCTAGAGCAATAGCAAACAAAGACAGACCTCCTCCTCATCTACTCCTTTGCTCGGTGAGCTAACTTTTTTCCAGTTCGGACTTTCACTGAGAGTGCAGCCTCTGTGAACACTCCAGCTTTGTGAGAATGTTTCATGTCTGGCCCTCCAACTTTCCCCAGAGCCCAGGGCTAGTCATGGCTGTGAAGCGCTGATTCCTCACGCCGGAATGCATGTGGCAATCCTGGTCTCTACCACACCCTTTGGTTTCACATCACTGCAGACGTTTTGTCCCTTTGGGATTTGCCTTCCTCTCCTACACGTTCAACAATATTTATAATAGGCATGTTTCTTTGATTTATTCTACACCTATCATTCATGTTGAGAAAACCATAAACTATAATTTCTTTGTTGTTGTTTTGTCCATGCACCCCACTGCCATGGTTGCTTTTTTTCTTTTTTAAAGTGACTTTTAGAGATGGTTAAAATTAGTTAACCATGCAAACAGGCAAGAAAAACTTTGAAATAATTGCTTTTCTGTAAATTACAAAATTTAGACTAAAAGCATTCTGCAACACCCATAAATCTGTTATAATCTAACACATTTGTCACATTGACATTCCTATTTTTACAAGTTTAGGACAAAGCATTTTCACTGACCATTTTACCCAATGTGCCCTTGTTATCTACAGCACTTCTCTTGAGAAACGTCAGGGAATTTTTTGAATGAATTTCTGATATAATGAAAGACTAGAAATTCTTATGAACCAATATTTATTTGAGACATCAAAACTCCTATTATATATTTGAAAGAGATGTTACCTTATATTTTTGTTAAATATACAAGGTAGCTTCTCATTGATGCCACAAAGATGTTTGTATGTTCACTTTCCTAACAAAATTATACTGCCACTTTTTGACTGTCCTTCATGTACATAATCTAACCTATTTTAACTCTTAGTAGACTGGTGGGTGTTTTAATTGTGGCTAATTTCAGTCACAGCTTGAGAAGTGTATTTTTGGTGACTTGATATACATTTTTTTAAAATCCCAGAATATAGGAATCAATCAATGAAAGTGCTGTTAAAATGTTATGCATTTAGATCAAAGGAGCTTCCAAATTTCAATTAGTTAGACATTTTCTGACAGTTCATAAACCAACTCATAAGGATTTATTTTATTTAAAGAAAAAATTGGAAACTATATTTTAAGACTACAAGACAAAATAATCAAAGAAGTCAAGCAAAAAATAATTAAACTTAGAAGTTCAAGATAATATTAAATTTAACTATAATCCATGATTGACATGTTGGCTATGGTGATGTCAATGATTTTGGGGACATCTCTCAGCAACCCCTCAAGAAAAACCTTAAGTTTGAAAGGATGAAAACATATTTGTTCAGTATAAAAATAGAAAAGAGACAGAAATAGTGACGTAAAGAAAAGTCCATTCATGTTCCTCAGACTGTTGCTTCCACTTCACGTGGCCTGTACACCTTTAAATATCTTTCAGCCAGATCTGTGTCATGGCCAACCTGTCAGACATGCTCACTGCTGTTCTGAAAATGTGTTCAGGATGGTCCAGTCATCCTGTTTTAAACGTGGGTGGGGCTCAGGCTACGTGTGCATGTACGCAAGGAGGAAGAATCTAACATTCCCGTTTGTTCTGCTCCTTTTCATGCATCAGACAGAAGACTATTTATTTTGCAAAGATGAATGAATTGAAAATAAAGATGGGTTACTATTTAAGGTTGTAATTTGCTTGTTTGGATATATCTACTTTCTTAAATGGAAAGAGCTGTAACCAGACTCTGAACATTTCCTCCTAATGCTCTTGATAATGGGTTAAAAATATTCTCCAATTAAGCCGGCTCTGTGGAGCAGGGCAGGCCCATTATTAGCTCTGCCATTGTACAGTGCAGGAGGCTGGCCAGCTGGGAGGCTGTGCTGACAACCAGAAAGGTCATAAAAATCGCCACTTGCTGAGCAGAACAACTACCTGTGTTGTCCCTTTACAAAGGTCACCCCTTAGTCTTTCTTATTTTCACACATGGTCTCTATCAAAATACAGGAGTCCACCCACAAATTGGTGTGACGACAATCTTTTCACTTCAACAACACATACAAAATGTAGTCCAGCCCAAAGCCCATGCTGTTAACAAGATGAAATCACCTTGTTTTCATTTTCCCCTTTGGTAAAAGGCTGGCCCCAGAAGACAGTGGGTTAGTACTGCTAAGAAAGAGAGCGTCCAGGTGGCAGTGGGTCATTTAAGGAGGTGATGGGTCAGGGCCATTTTCAAAGAAGAGTTCAATTACTATACACTCTGCAAACCACAGAGATGGGGTTAAATATACCTCCATGAACACTGTTTATGGTACAAACTCTGACCTTTATTGAGTATTTTATAGAACCCATTAAACTATAGCTCAGAAACATCTAATGCGTCTCTTTGAACACATGACTCTATTTAATAAGGAAGAAATGACTCATTTTAATTTTAGGAGTTTATGGGATCTCAAGGGAAATCCTAGACTTCGCAAACATTCCCCTTTCTGTACCCTCCCCAGACCCACAGCTGCAGTCCCACTGAGGCATCCGGATGGAGCTGGCTCATACTCACTGACTGAACCATTTTCTGCATGAAATACTCCTAGAGGATTAATAGTCACTAGGACACCAAACCAAGAAGAGCAGGTAAGTGCTATATAGTGAAGGTGTCATACACTTTGTTCTTCAAACAATGACCACATCCGGTAGGGGTTCAGTGAATCTTTCTTGTGTTAAGTCAGTATTTTAAAATAGACAGAGAACTAGAATTGGAGTGAGGAGTGGTGAGTCTGTGGTCCTGGCTACTGGCTGAGTAATCCTGGGAGCTCACTTATGGTAAATTTTCTGGACCTGCACTTCCCACCCCACTTCTCACCTGTGCAAAGAGGGCATTAATCTAGATTAACCAAGATTTTTTGAACTCTATATTATTATTATTATTACTATTACTATTTTGGGGGAGGTTAGTCATCATCTGAGGATATTTCTTTTTCCATTGATTTTTTTAGAGAGAGTGGAAAGGAGGGGGAGAGATGAGAGAAACAGCAATGTGAGAAGAGACACACTGATTGTTTGCCTTCCACACACGCCTCAACTGGGGCCAGGGAACAAGCCTGCAATTGGGGTACATGCCCTTGATCTGAATCAAACCCAGGACCCTTCAGTCAGAGGGCCGATGCTCTAACCACTGAACCAGCCAGGACTGAATTCTACTATTTATAATTAATATTCTGTTTTTAAAAAAGTTGCATCTATTCTTCTTTCTTAAAATGACCAAAGTTTTTACCAGTTTAGAGACATGTTACTGGAGATAAACATCTCTTCCGTGTATTCTTGCTGAAACCCCAACCCACACCTTCTGTGGCATTTTTTGATATACTAGTGGCCCAGTGGATGGATTCATGCACATTGAAAGGAAATTAATTAGAAGAAATATTTTAATATCTCTATTTGCCCTTTCTCTATAATAGAAGTGTCAACCAAATTCATGATCAA